AAAAAAGTTCTCATGTGGAACTTTCCCCCCCCCCCCCGAAAAAACCCAGAAAAAAAAATTGGGTTTTTTTCCGAGCTTCAAAATTTCCAGAAATTTTCCACCTCTATTTGAGAGTCAAAGTGCCCTTTGTCAGTTACGAAGGAAGCTTCGACCTCCCTCTTTACCAGGCCTCCCCTCAGCAGGTCCGAACTGCATACCAGAGATGGCATCTGTGAGGCCTTCATCTTAACGACAACTGCACCGGATTTTATTAGTGTTTCTAGGGTTGCGGTGCTCATCTCCATTTCAAAGCCGAAGAGCCAGCGCTGTCCAAAGACTTTTCCGTAGTCATGTGGCCGGCATGACTAAACACAAGGCTCATGGAACGCTGTTCCCTTCCCACCGAAGTGGTACCGATTTATCTACTTGCAATTTCTTGCTTTAAAACTGCTAAGTTGGCAGGAGCTGGAACTAGAGAAGGGATCTCACTCCGTCATGCGGCACCCAGGTCTCGAACTGCTGAACTACCGACCTTCCGCAGCCTGCAGTTCAGCGTCTTAACCACTTGAGCCACCGCAGCTCCCTAAGGTGCTATACCGCTGTTCTATTTCAGAGCAAGCTGTCCGCCCTCTGAAATGACCTTCTGACATGCAGCAGCCCCCCCAGCGTCTGCTGAGAACCTTCCAATTCCGATCTGGAATGAGCCGGGCCATGGGAAAGTGGTAACCTCTCAACTTCAAACCCGTTTGCTCCCCTGGCCAGTTCACGTTGAGGGGACACTGGTCGCCTTTGGAAGTCACACACCGGAGTGCGTGACGGACCCAAACGTCACCCTCCCTCTCCCACACAAGGAGGTGACTGAAAGATTCCTTGTTGGGGTTGTGCTATATGCAGGCCCAGTCATAAGAGCATAAGGAAAGCCATGTTGGATCAGGCCAATGGCCCATCCAGGCCAACACTCTGTGTCACACAGTGAGTGGCCAAAACCCAGGTGCCATCAGGAAGTCCACCAGTGGGGTCAGAACTCCAGAAGCCCTCCCATTGTGGCTCTTCAAGTACCAAGAAGACAAAGCATCACTGCCACAGACATAAGAATGTAAGAGAAACCATGTTGGATAAGGCCAATGGCCCACCCAGTCCAACACTCTGTGTCACACAGTGGCCAAAACCCAGGTGCCATCAGGAGGTTCACCAGTGGGGCCAGAACTCCAGAAGCCCTCCCACTGTTGCCCCCCAAGCACCAAGAAGACAGAGCATCACTGCCACAGACATAAGAATGTAAGAGAAGCCATGTTGGATCAGGCCAATGGCCCACCCAGTCCAACACTCTGTGTCACACAGTGGCCAAAACCCAGGTGCCATCAGGAGGTTCACCAGTGGGGCCAGAACTCCAGAAGCCCTCCCACTGTTGCCCCCCAAGCACCAAGAAGACAGAGCATCACTGCCACAGACATAAGAATGTAAGAGAAGCCATGTTGGATCAGGCCAATGGCCCACCCAGTCCAACACTCTGTGTCACACAGTGGCCAAAACCCAGGTGCCATCAGGAGGTTCACCAGTGGGGCCAGAACTCCAGAAGCCCTCCCACTGTTGCCCCCCAAGCACCAAGAAGACAGAGCATCACTGCCACAGACATAAGAATGTAAGAGAAGCCATGTTGGATCAGGCCAATGGCCCACCCAGTCCAACACTCTGTGTCACACAGTGGCCAAAACCCAGGTGCCATCAGGAGGTTCACCAGTGGGGCCAGAACTCCAGAAGCCCTCCCACTGTTGCCCCCCAAGCACCAAGAAGACAGAGCATCACTGCCACAGACATAAGAATGTAAGAGAAGCCATGTTGGATCAGGCCAATGGCCCACCCAGTCCAACACTCTGTGTCACACAGTGGCCAAAACCCAGGTGCCATCAGGAGGTTCACCAGTGGGGCCAGAACTCCAGAAGCCCTCCCACTGTTGCCCCCCAAGCACCAAGAAGACAGAGCATCACTGCCACAGACATAAGAATGTAAGAGAAGCCATGTTGGATCAGGCCAATGGCCCACCCAGTCCAACACTCTGTGTCACACAGTGGCCAAAACCCAGGTGCCATCAGGAGGTTCACCAGTGGGGCCAGAACTCCAGAAGCCCTCCCACTGTTGCCCCCCAAGCACCAAGAAGACAGAGCATCACTGCCACAGACATAAGAATGTAAGAGAAGCCATGTTGGATCAGGCCAATGGCCCACCCAGTCCAACACTCTGTGTCACACAGTGGCCAAAACCCAGGTGCCATCAGGAGGTTCACCAGTGGGGCCAGAACTCCAGAAGCCCTCCCACTGTTGCCCCCCAAGCACCAAGAAGACAGAGCATCACTGCCACAGACATAAGAATGTAAGAGAAGCCATGTTGGATCAGGCCAATGGCCCACCCAGTCCAACACTCTGTGTCACACAGTGGCCAAAACCCAGGTGCCATCAGGAGGTTCACCAGTGGGGCCAGAACTCCAGAAGCCCTCCCACTGTTGCCCCCCAAGCACCAAGAAGACAGAGCATCACTGCCACAGACATAAGAATGTAAGAGAAGCCATGTTGGATCAGGCCAATGGCCCACCCAGTCCAACACTCTGTGTCACACAGTGGCCAAAACCCAGGTGCCATCAGGAGGTTCACCAGTGGGGCCAGAACTCCAGAAGCCCTCCCACTGTTGCCCCCCAAGCACCAAGAAGACAGAGCACGTTTCATTTGGCATACCCACAGTAGCGGTTACAGGCAATGTTCCCTCTGCAGCGGTTCTTAACCTGTGGGTCGCGACCGATGTTCCCTCTAAGCTGTGGAGTCTTGTGAGCAAAAATTCTAATTCGTGAGCTGCTGGCATTAAAATTGTGAGCGAACGATTTGGCTACTGCGTAGATTAGTTTGCTCTGGAGCCCTCCTCCCTGAGCTAAGACAAAAATCTGTGAGCTGAAGGCTAAAAAACTGTGAGCTAGCTCACACTAACTCAGCTTAGAGGGAACACTGGTCGCGACCCCTTTGGGGGTCGAACGACCCTTTCACAGGGGTCGCCTAAGACCATCGGAAAACACAAATTACAATTCATAACAGTAGCAAAATTACAGTTATGAAGTAGGAACGAAAATAATCTTATGGTTGGGGGTCACCACAACATGAGGAACTGTATTAAAGGGTCGCGGCATTAGGAAGGTTGAGAACCACTGTGGTGGAGTCTTGTGAGCAAAAACTCTACTTGGTGAGCGACTGGCCTTAAAGCTGCGGGCGAGCGATTGGGCTGCTGCATCAAGTAGTTAGCTCTGGGGCCCTCCTCCCTGAGCTGAGACAGAAATGTGTGAGCCGGAGGCTAAAAAACTGTGAGCTGGCTCACACTCACTCAGCTTGGAGGGAACACTGGTTGCAGACCTCCCTCCCGAATTCTGGGGCTGTGTCGCTTGTGTTTGGCGCGAACTCTTTCACCATTTAAAAGTCGTTCTTAACTGTTCAAACGTTTGAACGCTTGCCGTCCCCGGTGAGGCGGAAAGGCGGCGTGAAAAGTTACCTTTCCCCGCTAATGAATTGCGATGGTTCCCCCCGGGTAAAAGGGACGGGAACCGGTTGACGCAGTAGCCGCTTTTGGTGTAAGCCGCAGTGGAACCCTGCAAAGACAAAAGGAGAGAACGGATGAAGTTGGATCGTGGCCCATTTGTCCCCCCCCCAATACTTCAGCACTTGGTTCCCCTCATAATAAAACTTACAGAATTCACTGCCTAGTACATATGAAGCTGCCTTATACCGGATCAGATATCAAGGTCAGTATTGTCTACTCCAGCTGACAAGGATCTCCAGGTTCTGAGGCTGGGGTCTTCCCCATCCCTTCCTGCCTGGTCCTTTTAACTGGAAATGCTGGGGATTGAACCTGGGACCTTTCGTCTGCCAAGCAGCGGCTCTGCCACTGAGCCAGAGCCTCAGATCAAGGTCTTCCCCATCACCTCCTGCCTGGTCCTTTTAACTGGAGATGGCAGGGATTGAACCTGGGACCTCCTGTGTGCCAAGCGGATGCTCTGCCACTGAGCCACAGTAGGTGGCATTCTAGATGTAGTTTCTTGTTACTTCCTTGTTAGTATAGTGTTATTTTGTTATATAAACGTTTTTCCTGCTGTTTATATTACTCAGGCACTCTTTGGTCTGCGTTATTTATGCAGCCTTTGTTTGTTTCATGATCCTGTGTACTGTGTTATCACACTTCTTTGGCTCACGTAGCGGCCAGTCAGTTCCTCTTGAGGGCGAACAACAGGGCAGAGAGGCCGAGGCCTTCATAAGAACATCGGAAG